GCAAGGATAATGCGTAGAGGATGCTGGGAGGATGCTGGGAGTAAGCTAGAAAGATGATAAAAGAATGCTGGGAGGATGCTGGGAGTAAGCTAGAAAGATGATAAAAGGATGCTGGGAGGATGCTGGGAGTAAGCTAGAAAGATGATAAAAGGATGCTGGGAGTAAGCTAGAAAGATGATAAAAGGATGCTGGGAGGATGCTGGGAGTAAGCTAGAAAGATGATAAAAGGATGCTGGGAGGATGCTGGGAGTAAGCTAGAAAGATGATAAAAGGATGCTGGGAGGATGCTGGGAGTAAGCTAGAAAGATGAGAAAAGGATGCTGGGAGGATGCTGGGCGGACGCCACACAAAAACATCCCCATCCTCCCACACCCACGACGACTGTTACCACGGCAACGGCTCAATCACCTTGACGTTGGGAGCTCCGTAGTAGATTGGCACGACGCCGAGATGTAGGGGGCGCCACAGCTTCTCGGTGATGTAATCGTCGCAGACGCTGTTCTCCATCGCCAGCACGAACTTGTACGGAGCGAGCAGGTCGTAGAAATCAGGATGAAACATCCCCGCCACCGGATCCTCCAGACTACGGGAAGATAAACGGGATGTGGTATGAACGGGAGAAAGCACCGAAGACAACGAAAATGGTGGCGTTTTATCTACGTACTAGCTACCGAAACCTCCAAAAGGTGGCCTTTGTAGACAGGTCGCTTTTCCATCAAAGCAGCTCTACTGGATAACTCCTTCTAAAGGAAGGAACTAGCAGGGATTGAGGCAAAGATATCCAAGACACAGTTAAACCTGCTTACAAAGCTCACTCGACCAAAATAAACCCGCAACAAAAGAAAGACTTGCACTTTACGCTGAAGTTACTAAGTTACTGAGCTATTGTTAAGTTAGGCACTCATTGTTTAAAGTCCCAAGTTACTAAGTTACAGTTAAGTTACTAATCTAAGCACTCACTGTTTGGGCCTAAGTTACTGAGTTACTAATCTAAGCACTCACTGTTTGGGCCTAAGTTACTGAGTGACTAATCTAAGCACTCACTGTTTGGGCCTCAGTTACTGAGTGACTAATCTATGCACTCACATTTTGGGCCTAAGTTACTAAGTCACACACTCACTGTTTGGGCCTAAGT